TCCTCGGTTCAATCCTAATGTCTTTGTTTATGCAAGTTGTACGAATTTTGACGAACGTTTGGGAAAGTGCCTTTTTTTGTATATAATTGACGTACGGAACGGAGAGAGAATCAAAAAGGATTAACCAATATAGGTGATACGAGGTTAAAGAACTACATTGAAAATAAAAAGTAACCATAATGGCAAAACAATATAGTAGATAGTCAAAAAGAGATGTAACATGAACTGTAATGACACGACTACAAAAATACCAATAAGAGAAACATTTTGTGTGTTATCCATTAATTCGTATGTGTATCGATGTTTCCGTGTAATGTCAAAGTAGAATCGGACTGCGAGACAATAGGTTTCGGCTGAATTTTATTCACGTAAGCTGGTTTCTTCTAAGTTTGAACTCTATTTTGTCGTAGCTAATTCATTAGTCCCAAAGTATTTCTCGGTTTTTGTAAAGTTCACGATGAGTTATCGGAAGTCTATGTCGGTCAGGAAATTAATCATTATTCACGAAACAATCCAGTTAAGATAGCGAGCTTCACCTTCAGCTTTCTCTACTCAAAGTCAGGTCTTTTGAATCGGCATTTTGATACGGCAAACTAGACGTTAACATTGTCTATTAGTCTTTTTCAGCTGTTTACCCTAGTTAAATACAGTCGAGGTTAGCCGAACACAACACCGATATTTCTTTTCCTTTTCCAAATTTATGGCGCTGATTGTGTGGCATTACACGATTTTTGCTTATTCGTCGAAACTTACACGTAATGTCCATTTGTAGAGTCGGTCGATTAGAATCGCGGCCCCGGAAGACGTGGTATGTAGGAATCTTAATCGGTCCAATTCAAACTGTTGAATGGTCATTGTTGTTGTGATAGACAGGGTACAAAAACCCCAGCAACGCCCCTTATATCCACTCAAACTATTGTTTTTCTCAGGGAGTTTTAACGGAGGCCGTGTCGATCTTTTACTAAGCTCCAATTCAGAGCAAGTATGATGAAGGCGAAAACAAATATAGATATAAAGGCCACTTTGTAGCTTCGGAGAGTGAGACGGTGGATCGACTATGGAAAACCTTGATGTGGTTAATAAGTTTGTTTAACTACTATACCTTTATGTAATGTCGTAAAACTTAAGTTCATGCTTCTTATATAGTAAGTTATTGTTGCATATTATGATTTTGTTTACACATTGTTATTAGTTAGGTTGTTACGAAGGAATTCTACATTGACATTTAGATTAACTATCTTTATCTACCGTTATAAAGTATTATGTTTTTACGTAAGTATCTCGTTGTCTTTGTAAATTTCATTATTTCTTTATTAATCCAAAAACAACTATTCAATATTGTACTTTGTTTGTACAGAAGGTTTAAGTCCGTAAATAATTATTATCAAGCGTAATGCGGAATAACACTTTAGTACGACTAAGACTGTATGGTGGATGTATAGACCAAAATTTTGTTGGTATGTCTCGTGGAAACAATCTTAAACAATAGTCCAAATACGACCAAATTAGAGATTACTTCAATATCCTTCATCACGTTATAGGAAACGTCACTGGTGCCCCGGCGTACCTCTTCCGTTACTCATTATGTCACTTCTCTCTCTCTCTCTCCTCTCTTCTCTCTCTCCTCCTTTGAACAGAGGTTTATATTGTCCCGGTCATGAAAGTTGGGACGGGGCTGAAAGAGCGCCCTCTCCTCTGAGCTAAAAGTACACTGAGACCTGAGCGGGCGCGGCCAAGGCCAAAGGGCCGCCAGTATAAAGAGGGCCGTAAGAGGGCTAAAAGACTGGTTTTAGTCTAAATGTATGTGACAAAGGTGAGCCTGAAATTATTCGATGTGTAACAAAACCAAAGGTACCATTGTGCAGAGAAATCATCTTCCGTTGATTTCAGACTCTCCAACTCCGTCTATAACTGTCTTTGTCTTTTCTTAGCTGTTGATAGATGAGAGACGAGTGGAGAAAGACCGTCACGTGAATGTTGATGTTTATTCGTACAATTACAATTAGATTGTCGAGGGCCGCTAGGTGATGTGGGGGGGGGGGGTGGGGGCGGCGTAAAACGTAAAACTTTACGAGGGGCTAAAGGACTCCAAATTTTCCAACCGTTCATATATGTCCGAGGGGAACGTCATTAACCAATGACAAATGTACCTCCCCAATAGTGGGGATTAATTAAACATACGTAACAAACACAGCGTACACACGATTAAAATTCTACAAAATTTCCAATAAACTAACACTTGTGTTTTTCCGGATATATGAAAATAGAATTTATAATAATTCCGACCACAGGTGAAAGACTAAACACATCTATCACGTATCCCCTTTCTATGCTCAATACTCTTTTCCCTTGTGACAGCAAACGAACGAGGACTGGCTGTACATAAACACTGTTGTTAAAAGCGAACAACTTCCTCGTGATATAATAACATCATTATCTTATAGTCACCCTCCGTTTTATATCACATACGGAAAATAAATTATTCGGATAGGTACTAAATACTTCTTTTAGCTTTCTGGACTCTAGGATCTGACTTTCCACTTTTTTCCCTCTCTCCTCTCTCCCCGTTAAAGTTACTATCACACCTGACGCTCAATCAGTGTGGATCACACCGCAAGTCTTTTGCGAAACCACTACGAGACAATCCGGCGTCGCGCCCTGGCACGGCTGGTCTGCCTCGGGCTGTCCCAGTATCGACGCGGCCCTTGACTTAGAGAAAGTGCTAAAGTAAGGGCGAGTAGAGTTACCACGCTTCGCTCACTGTCGCATTTTACGAACGACCGACGCCACAAATACACATTAGTGCGTTCCCTTAATGCTTTTGAGACGAAAATGTACAATTCTGTAGAGAGCTTTGGCACAACTTGAATCAATATTTTGTATGACTGCAGTTGTTGTTCGAGTCCTGTCGTTTGCACTTCTTAAGACTCGAGACGGGTCTCTCAACCGACCTGCGTGACCCTGACTTAAATTAATAGTGACCTCGTGAAGGAGTAAATGGAAGTCGTATTGTGTTAAAGTCCGCAGATAAGTGGAGATGAAACAGTACGGTCTCTGTAATTTTTCTTTACTTGATAAAACTAAGCGTACCAACAAAACAAATTATAAAGTGTTATAGCCTGGATGAAACGTTCGATGAAGACGTTTTATGTTCGGAGGATGTGGGAGCCGTCATGTATGTTATGACACGTTCAAAGTAAAGCTATTCTCCGCGATAGTGTTCGTCGCGCGTGGTAAAGCGGTGTCATAACCTCTTGTATAACAACTTGTTATGTACCTTCCAAGAAGAGAGACAAAGACGTCACCAACGGACTAGGTACCCAGCGATACCATTTAGACCAAAATAAAGGAGTACATACAAAATTCGTAGATCATTTTTGTATTAAAACAAAAACGAGCGAACCTTGTGGTACGATAATTAGCGAGTTCAGAACAACGACCCCAAAAAATTGTAGGTATAAGTATGTAAACAACAACCTCTAATAACACACAAAAACACACAGTACACACAAAGGACGCGACAAAAGTGACGAACGAACAAGAACACGACAAAGCATCACGCATACAGGAGTTTCTCCTCTGCGAAATAAAAAGAAGAGGCAGTGCGACTACCCAAATGGGGAACACCCGTTGTCGTCTGACTTCGTCTTCACAAACACAACATAGTAGTTCCCTGAGCCGGTTCTTTGTTGGTACAACATAGTATATCTACACATAACATAAATGTGAATAGGGAGTAACTTATGTTTATATACAAGTCAAATTTCGAGTAACCGACAATTGACATGTTTCTTACGTTTACGGAGGTGGTCCCTGTAAACGAGAATCTATCACTCCTGTGCCCACCTTGGATTGTCACTCCGGACTCTGACACACAACAGTTCTGCTTCTTGTGAAACTCCAGAGACCCTTCGCTTTACCTGTGGCCACCAACATGGCTAACAGCACCGCAGCAGCAGTGAAGGTTGGGACCCCTGGCCCTGCTGGCAGGACCAGTCCAGAGGGATCTCAGGTCAGTCAGCCTATTTATTTAATGATGGGGTCCCTGTTATCACCTTTTTATCTAGAGCCCTCATTACACTACTTAGCAAGGACTCAACATCAGAACATCTGTACTCTTTTGTAACATGAATAAGTCTGCTTTGCCTCCAGGTGCTCAGTAAGAAGAAGCTGCAGGACCTGGTGAGAGAGATCGATCCCAATGAGCAGCTGGACGAGGATGTTGAGGAGGTTAGTCATCTTTTTTTAATTATGTTAGGTAGTGAAGTTTAAAGTGTGACATGAATACTACTTGCATCTTGCAGGTCCTTGTTGCTCTATAGCTTTCCTAACTGACTGCCACATCCATCATTCGGAAATGTTATTCTATGGAAAGCCTGGCTGCATGAAAAATGAGGGGTCTGTCCAGCCGTCAGGGAAAGTTAATTTCCTTTACTGAGCCCGATGGATGGTTTTCAAAATGTCTGTCTCTTCTCAGATGCTGCTACAAATTGCAGATGACTTTATAGAGAGCGTTGTGACAGCGGCCTGTCAGCTGGCTCGCCATCGCAAGTCCAACACCTTGGAGGTGAAGGATGTTCAATTACATCTGGGTAAGTTGGCTTTAAATGCAGTGTTTAAGCGTTTCTTTGCACAGCTAATGTTTTCAGGCATACATGGCAGCCCTGTAATCTGTTGTGGAAAATTGCTTTACTAAATGATTGTCTTAATATGCCCTATATAAAATGGATGTTTAATTGTTTCATTTTTAACCTAACATTAATTTAATGTTCAAACCAAAACAGGGCTCGACATTATAAATGGTCCTCTGGTCCGGAGGCACTATTTATACACTCCTTTAAAAAAAAAAAAAATTACGCTGTTTGCTGAACTGATGATTCAAATGTTGTAATAATGTAGTTTGTGCATAAATTACTATTGCAACAAATGTGTTCATTTTCTTCATTATTAGTTGATTTTTTTTAGACGAATGCTCCGGGCCAGTGATTACCATGGGGGGGGCCAGTGGTTACAATGGGGGGGCCAGTGTTAATCCGGGCCAGTGGAATTTTACCCGTAATGTCTACCCCTGCATAATCATATCCACACTCAAAATATTACTTACAGTTTCTCACATTGGCGTTTCTGAAGAGACATTTTCTTTTAGAATTTTACAAAAAGCTGGCATCTTCAAAGGAGGCATTCAAGGATTTATGCTGTTGAGAAAATACAAAAAAAAACATCTTTGAAAGCGTTATGTCAAATAGAAAAAGCTGCGTTCTACCCTTGAGCGAAGGTAATTTGTGCTCATCTCCCTGACAATGCATTTCTCAGGAAGCTCTTGTGATTGTTTGCAGACAGCTTTCGGGGTAACATGGCAACCAAATCACTGACTGATAAAATGTCAGCTCTGCTTTGCCATGACAGTAAGGGTAGTCAAGGCAGTTGTGGATGTTGAAATGATTTTGTGTCGTGCTGACATTTAGCATTTCTTTTCTCAGAGCGCCAGTGGAACATGTGGATTCCTGGTTACGGCTCCGATGAGATCCGGCCGTTCAAGAAGGCTTGCACCACAGAGGCTCACAAACAGGTGAGCGACACACCGCTTTGTTTCTGTTGGTCACAGTTAAATATTCAGATCCATATCTTTTTTGGATCAATCTCGTACATGTCATTACTTTTTATTCGTATTGAAATGAACAAGCCTAACCGGTTTCTTTTTTCTTCATTTCAGAGAATGGCGCTGATCCGCAAGACAACCAAAAAGTAGCAAGACTGTTCTCTGATATGTTGTACCCACTCTGTGTATTGTCTTTTTTTTTTCCTTTTCAGTTGGGATGTTTTTTTGACTTATAAGGAAGAAAAGGATGTTTTGGGTGAAGTTTCTTTTTTCATTTGATATTAGATAGTGTTTCATTGTCATGTCTCTCTAACTTTTTGAGTACTGTGCCACATACATCACATAAAAATGTAATTATTGTCTCGGATTCTGTTTTTGTTGCCATTAAGCTAAGCCTGGCAGAGCTCTATTCATTGCAATTTTTTCAATAAACATTTACTGGAATACTTATTTTCGATGAGGTGGTTCTGGTTTACCTTTTTAATATTCTAAAGCGATTTAGTGTTCTCATGCCAAAATGTTTTATTTTAACAGGATATTTGATAACATCCTATTGGCTACTGATGGTAGGTTTTATTACATTGACACTTTTTGCCACCATCCCTGCAAGTTTTATTTTTTACCTTTGTCTATTTCAGCAAAAACAATTATAGAAGAAATGGTACTTTTCACAAAATAATAAATACATAAACAAAGGATCTGGTATCAAGAGACATTTTGTATTTGCAACATTTGACATGAGTGAGTCGTACATACAGTGTTGCATTTAGTTAAATACATGTTTCCCTTTGTAACTAATAGGATCATTTCACATGTGGTATATTTGCATTGAGCCAAGAACGCATCCCTGTACAAATACAACAGTTAACCTGTCAGTGAAACACAGGAGGCTGTTTAATCTGCCAGACGGACAGTAATTGCTATGGAAACCTCTCACAACATAAAACAATATCCAAATGCACCCTAGAGTTGTATAAATTAATTATTTTTGAACAAAAGGACGCCCAAAACAAGTGCTCGCTCTCAACATGCTGTGATGCAACAAAGCCGTTTCTAGAAAACACCGCTCAGGCCCAAAGCATTCTAGCACAATTCACAGAGTCATAGGGGGATGTTTATAATCTCCACCAAGGCACCCGAAATAACAGCTGCCAATCACCGACAGACCCAGCATCATAGACAAGAATCACAGATGAAGGTGCGGAAATGGGTTCTAAAGAAGGAAAAGCAGTGTAATTGTACGGTCTCACAAGCAAAAATAAAACAAATTATGCCAATTTGTAACCACAGCACACATTCTGACCACTCAAGTAAGGAAATCAGGACACCAAGGTTGGCAACCTACTGTCCAAACATCGATAGAAGAGAAGATGTGATCGTATCCCACTCGTATACAATGAATGCCATTGTGATGCACTCTCATCTGGCACCAGTGGTGGATCAATATGTCCTCATTACAACTCCTGCCCTTCTGGACTCAGGTAAGCAAAGACCTCATCAGTCCATGTTAGGCTGATCAGCTGTTGGCCTAGCATCTCACCAACGAGATCTGAACCGCTCTGTCAAGTTTTAAAAGTCCTATAAAGGAAGGAACTAGAGATTTTGCAATTAAACAAGAGTTTACAGCTGTGCTAGCAACATGTGACTATTGCTAACATCAGCGTGTTAGCATGCTGCTGATTAGCAGGTAATATATCACGTTGTCACCATGTTACCCCCGAACATGTCAATAGCAACAGCCAAAAAGTACAGCTGTGGAAAATAGGCATGATTTTAGTTGTCATAAACCCAAGTGTTGGGCAAAATTTAACATTTGAATTGAAGATTGCGCTAGAAAAAAAGTAAAAGGACCTGAGTACCTGTAGTAAATATTCCATCAATATATTCTTCAGACATTTCACCTAAAAACAAACATGGCAACCTGCTGCTGGTGTTAGATACAAAAAAAAGGGTAGGCTACCACTTTACAATAAGACTAGCCTTATAAAGGGTTTACGAATAGTTCCAAATTCATTTATTAATTAGGTTTTGAACACTTTATTAATCATTATTAATAAGCTTTTATAAGACATGAGATAAACAGGGCGACTGTGACCGGCTGCCAAATAGTGAGCCCACATTTATCTGTACTGCTAAGCCTTATATTGGCTACCTAGCTTACTTCGTCTCCTTCCTCAGCCAGCATCCTTGGTATCTCTTGCTCACGGAGTTGATTCTCGCTGAGTAGCCAATATAAGGCTTACTCATCTTGCCAAATAGTGAGCCTGTCTTGATGTATGAAAACTATGTTAGAACTGGTTTATAAATGGTTCATAATAAAGTGTTTACACCCTAATTCATAACCTAATTATAAACCCTTTATGAATCCTTTATAAGGGTGGTCTTATTGTAAAGTGGTACCAAAACAAGTCAGGGAATCACCAAAGTCAGTGGGGGAAAATCCTCTTGGGAAAATGAATGCTGGACAAAATGAAGTGGCAAGTCATCTAATAGTACGTTTATCTGTTTTACCAAACAACTGATCAACATTGCCATCATGGCCCAAAGATGAAAGTCAAAACATTGTACTTTAGTGGTTTTCATGATGGTCCCGTTACTACATTAGACCTCCTGGGGGCTGGTTTTAGTTCTATTGTAACATTAGTGTGTTGTGGAGACCACCGCCAGTCCACGGTTTAATCACAACACTTCTTCTTCTTCTTGGTGGTGGGGCTGGGTCGTGTCAGGCTGGCTCTCTGTAACTGAAGCGCATGAGGTGAGGCACACTTGACTCCATCCCAGCCGTCCTGCAGCTCCACCTCTCCGCTCAGCAGACCCTGGTAGACCCTCCGAGCGAGCAGCTCGAAGGCCTCCCTCACGTTCTGACCCGTCTTGGCAGAAGCCTCGATGTACGGCATCCCTAGCTGCCCGGCCAGTTTCTCAGCCTGCTCCTGACTCACCACCCTCCCCCCCTGAGCATCTTGGTCGCTCTTCTGTCCCACCAGGACAAACAGAACCTTATGCGGCTGCACTCGCTCGCACACCTCATCGTGCCACTCCTTAATGTGGTCAAAGGAGGCTTGGTTGGTCATGTCAAACACCAGCAGGCCTCCGACTGAGTTGCGGTAATAAGAACGGGTGACAGACCTGAGGACAGAGGAGAGACACGGGGTTCAATCATGAGGAAAGAGAGAGGAAGTTTGAATGTCAACACATGAAAACCTCACTGGGTGGTGCAGAGGTCAGACCGGGCTTACTAACTTCCTGTTAGAGTGATCAAATAATCAGCTGATGTTCTTCACTGTCTGAGTAGAGTTTTTTTTTTTTTTTTTAAAGATAAGCAGGTTGATTAAAGAGTCAAGAAATGAATAACCACTGTGTTTCTCTCAGCCTAATCAGGAAACTGTCAAGAGGCATAGAGTTCCCCCATGAGTCACTGAATGTTTAACCAAAATCATAGGGCTGGTTAAACGGTCCTCTTTGGAGCCCGTTGCTAAAAAAACAAACACACTTTATTCATTACTTATTTAGGAAAACTATCCTGATTGGGCTGACTTTTTAGCTGAGTCATGTGGGATAAACTGGCTACAGATACGAGGCAGAGAGGAGGTAAACACAAACAGGCAGTCTGCAATTTGTCACGGTTCGTTCAACTGGAGAACTGATTTAATGAATTTGTGAAATATTTGACTGTTTTGTTTTTTCTTTAAAATATGCTGAGCATGAAGAATAACGCCCTTTGAAAAATCGGCCTCTTCAACTTTAAGCATTACACATACAGCACTGCATCTCTGCACACACTGATCTTGTGAGTTTGACAGGGTGGATACACACAGTGGCAAACACTAATGAACACCTCCTGTGTGAATGGAATAACCAGTGCTAGTTTATTTGGATAGTATATTTGCATGCAGAGGAGTCATATTGGGATATTTATATTCTAGTACTATCTTATACAAAGAAGTCTGGTGCGTCCTCACCTGAACCTTTCCTGCCCGGCTGTGTCCCAGAACTGCAGCTTGACGCGGACGCCCGGCTCCACCTCCAGGAAGTGAACGTAGAAGTCTACACCCACCGTCTGGTTGATGGACTCCAGGAACATGTCTTCTGTGTAGCGCTTCAGCAGGGAGGACTTGCCCACTGTGGAGTCCCCCAGCATGATGATCCTGAACTGGTACTGCCACAACGTTAGATCCATGGTTGCTGGTTGTGGGGTAAACAAGGTATGACAGTGAATACAGCTTGTAGGGAGTCAGATGTGTATACAAGTTGGGTTCAAAAGAAGATGGACACCAAACGAATTATGAAAGAGGTTGCAAGTAAGGTCAGGAATAGCTGAGGTTTATATTGAACACTATAGATGGTACCTTAAGGGTTTTACAAGATACTTAAAGAAGACATATTACCTGTAAGAGACTAGAAATCCAGCTTTCCACCAGTTGGTTCCTTATCTTTGACGCTCCAAATGTTGAGAACAACCACAGCAGCCACTCCTTGTAAATCTCGCAATCAGCAATCTGTTGACAGTCATCTCAAACTCCTATACAGGTGAGGGCTGCAGCACAAGTCTCTCAGTCTCTGCCCCATGGTGGTTCATCTAAAACTCTTCAAAAAGCAGGTTTGTGGAAAAGTCTGTCCCACAAAAGTAGATCCTAGTACAGCTGTGGCATCCGTGTTGATACTGTAAGCATGTGCATGGGTGTGCTGCGCAGGGGAGTGAACTTTTAAAGTTTCCCTGTTTATACTTGACAAAAGGTGGGGTAGAAAAAGGATACGGGGAGGGCTGTTGTGGAATGGGAGGGCCAGATGTGGGAGTAAAAGGGGAGGCGGGGTTATAAAGGAAGTAGTGTTGCATTTGATACCATATCAAGACAAAACTTCATGTTTCCTGCTGGTTTGTATCTGAGTGACATCATTGACAGTGGGGGATGTGGGCAACTGTCTGCCCACAGGATTTGCAGCAGTTCTCATCACTTTATGGTATTGTCAGTAGAGTGAACATTGCTACCTGAAAAGGGAAGTTGACAACAATAGTCCTTTATGTCCGCCCTGGGAATCACTAGGAACGGCTACTCCTTTTCTACAATGGGTTTGTTGAAGGCTTAATGGTATGTTTAGTAATGACTACAAGTCTACTTCTTAGTCATTGTGACTATTTTAGTGTTGAACTTGGGTGTCATTAAATGCAAGAGTTTCTATGAGAACAACAAATAAATAGCACACACATGTATTCACCTTTTTACAGCTATCACAAGACGGCAACTAATTACCGTACAAGTTCTTTTTCTCTCCAAACCGAATTGTAATGAATAAGACATCTTCTAGCCTTTGCATTTATATATATATATATAAAAAAAAGAATAACACTAGTAGTTTCAAGTTCCCCCAATGCCAAACAGCATCAAAAGTATTGCTATCAATGAATACAAAAGCTTTTCAGTCTCTTTAAAGCGCATTAGAGTATCAATGCACGCCCTTGTATTTCTTTCATTTAAACCAAGTCTCATAGTTGCTGGTAAAAAGCAGAAGTTGCTATGATTCTCAGCTTTACTTCAATAAAAAGCCAAATTGTCGAGAGGAATACAAATATATTTATTCAGAATGAACACACAATCACACATGCTACTGAGCTATCATAGATATAAAAATACAGCATGTTTTCATTTGGGTCTCCAACAGAATTAGCATTGGCAGCAATGATTTAGATATTCAGGCTCATTACATTTGACAAGACTCCAAGCGAAAATGTGACATCTTCTAAAGTTGGCTGTTGGGGATGTTTTGAAATCAGATCTTTAGGTTTCTCTATCAGTTTTAAAGCATCAGATCTCATATCCAAGCCTTCTTTATTCTGTTAAAACAGCTGACTCAACAGGTCACTTTAAGTGGACCTGATCTTCAGATGATTAAGTCAGTTTAGTACACTTTGTAAATGGCAGTAAAAGGCAATGGAGTTCAAAGCCTTTATTTGTCAGCAAGCAAAAAGGTCTCAAACATAAAAGTCATGCAAGCAGGAGCGGTGAGTTGAAGTTGAGAAACCTTGAAGAAATAACACCCTAAAGTGCACGACCCATTACAAAGGGTTTGAAGGTGTTTGCTAACGTCTAAACAATCACTTTAATACAACAACAAAAACATAAATATAGACCCCAAAGTCACCCAAACATAACTTTGTGAACACGTTTAATCTCATTCTTGAGTGACAGTGCAAGACTATTTGAAACCATAATGGCATAAAGCCAACTCACTGTTGTGTAGAAACTCTGAATGAGAGTTATGACATGCAAGCTGGCATTAAACCTAAAAGAAGAAATACATCAACACATACAATTGCAAGACACAAAGTAACAGACACTGTTCAAAGAAGTAAATGTTTAAATGTTATGCTACGAGCAACATTTTGACTATACAAATAACGATTGTACAAATACATAATGTTTCTTATGAGTGTTTTCATACATTTGATTGAATTAAAGGACAGATGTTTGAACTGGAACCCTGACTCTTTCTCGCTGGTGCAAATTAATAAATGATCGGCTTTTTCAAACTTATTCCTAAGTTTCTATTCTTAACAGAAGCAACATATAATATCCATGTCAACTTTTTCCTCAAGCTTTATGATTTTAAATTTGCCGACTGTATACCATCAAGCTGATTCCCATTCTACAAATATATATATTTGTACAGGTATTCAAAAATGTGTTTCCTTTCAGTTTCCTATACACACACACTTCACCTCAGCTTCTGCTTATGAAAGCAACTCCAACCCCCCACAGCGTAAAACCCCTTTAGTATACACGTCCAATATAAGCTTAATGTATTTTTGTATACATTATTATGTAACAGATCAGAAGGTATAAACAGTTTGCCTCATCTCTTAATAACAGTCCAGCCTTTTTCTCTGCCAGCTTCCCACGCCGGCTCTCAGGACAGAGAGAGGAACTTGAGATCCGAGAGGTCTGTTTCAGGAGAGCTGCTGTCGCTGCGGTCGCTGTACGTGTCCCTGCAGAGGAACACCAACACATAAAGTGAGAACAGCAGTAAAGCCTGACAGCGATTGCTTTACGGTGATTGCAGCTGCGATAAAAAATACTCACGGTAAACCAAGTGTAAGAGAGGAGATTATGACACTGAATACAATTATGCTTGTAAATTGACGTTCAGGTTGAAGAGTCAACGACATTTGAGTCAATTCAACGACACATAAAAGCGTCAACAATATAACGGCATACTTCGAAGGGAATGAAAAACATAATGGGACGTCTTTATGTTGTACACCATGGGGGAAATGTACAGTATGTTCTAATCTTAGGTAGACTTCAAGCTAATCAGAGTTCATGTCAGTAAGCAGGTTATGGAACAATATTTGTACATGATTTGACGCCATTCCAATAAAGAAACGTATTTAAATTGAATTAGCCAGTACGGGACAATCTCGTTTTTTATTGCATAATTGTAGAAAAATACGATTTAGATGTAACCAACAAACTGCTGGTGCATCGTATTCTTGGTTATTAACAACGAAAAAAAAAAAAGAGTGATTTAAACCCAACACATTAAACACTAAGGATTTTAGCTCATCTGAAACATACGCACCATCACTTAAGTGTTTACGCTCTTTTGGAGTGATTATACCCGTGTGTTTTGTTGTTGCTCTGAATTTTGTATTTCCATGTTTTTTGCAATTTCTGTAAATTGCAAATGAGATGTAATTCGAAACGTCTGAAGCAGTCAAGAGCTCACCGTGGAGACAGACGGCAGCCCTTGGCCAGGTAGCTCGGGAGTTTCCCTGCCGCAGCCAGCAGGAGACCGAAGTACGGAGGAGAGGGTTTCATGGGCCTGGAGGTGAACTCTGGGTGGTACTGCACTCCCACAAAGTAACAATGATCTGACACAACAAAGAGCAGTGGATTAGTACACACCCATTAAGCTCCAGTACATAGGAGGTAACATTTATAGTGGTAGAGACGGTAAGAGCATATCCCAAACATGAGCCCGGTCAAAGCTTTCAGGTGATACTCAGCATTTATTAGCAACAGCCCGTGGAAGCCGGTTTAAAAAACACTCACTCTCCAATTCAATGATCTCCATTCGCTCTCCTTCCACATCCTGGCCAACAAACTGAAGACCCTTTCCTTCAAAGTGGTGCTTGAGCTCAGGGTTCACCTGGAATGAGGAATGGTTCAAGGTTTCGGGAAAGATTTGTCTCCAAATGAGGTTAGAAGGTCATCTCATTACGGATACCTCAACATTAACTCTGGCTATAACCATGCAAATACATTTCAATGGAGCGGCGAGTCGCTGCAGCCTGCACAAGCATAATGAGATTGGACCAGGAGTGCTCTGCTCTCCCAGACCCTACGTTTTTGCTTTACCTCAAATCTGTGCCTGTGCCTCTCGTCAACATATTCCACGTCTCCGTACAGTTTTCCTAGAACAATGAAATGACACTCATCAGAAACACAATAGCTAGAAGCCAACCAACGCTGTACCATTCATTCAAGAAGGATACATACTCATTACGCTGTTGCTGGATTTGAACATAGTCCGCCGCTTCCCCAGCCTCATAGTCCCGCCCATCTGCCCTGGGTTGTGCTCTGGCATGTCAATCACCTGTCAAGATAAAACCGGATGTTTAAACCGATTGTGGTGAAGTCTCTGCTGGAAGGATGTGATATGGGCTGGGAAGATAACCTACTACGGGGTGACTGGATTCTGGATTAAATTCTGTCGAGTTGGCATCTGGAAAAGATAAGCGAAGCTGATAGGAGCTCAAATCAACTTCCCCTCGGGTCTGTGTTCTTTCATCATTCGATTAGGAACCATAGGAGTCAAATGTTGATTTGTGTTACAGTGGCATCAACTGCACACTCACTCACCTTCCCATCCGAGGACATTGCGGGCGAACTCACACACCGCCAGCTGCATGCCCAAGCACACTCCTGCAGAAACAGGAGCAGCAGGATACGAGCATAATGAGACAGAGCACTCGTATTAAAGGGAAGACTGATGAATATCCGGACTGTGCAAAACCACTTATATGACTAAAGCTTCTGCATGCGATTATAAAGTGCCTATATAAAGATTTGACCTTTTTCAGGACTCATATTACAAGTGTTTAAGTGGCAGCAATTAAACCTTTTTTTCTATTTCACTTTGAATTATGGATACAGTGAGTCTGTAACAAATGTAGACACCTGAACACTTTTTCATTGTCTCTTTAGATATTTCATCAAATGATGTCCAGTTGCACAAATACAAATTTTTCATGTAGCGTTGGCTTTATATTTTAGGCTAATGTTTTTAGCAGGAAAAACACATTTCATGACAGTTACAGGAATATAACAGACTGTGGCAGCATGCAATCAATTCTATTTGTTCTTCATATTATTGTAAGAGGGGCGTCTAAAGCTCACCTCGTTGAGCACCCCCATGTAACTATACCCCTCTTTCCTGTCTATATTCAACTGCACTAACAAGGCAATACAAACACAAAACTAATCTGAGATATACATATACAGTGCAGCTATAATTAAGTATGAGGCTGCATAATAGAATTGTTTACATGGCTTTAAGGTGAACTGGTAAACATTAGAGATGTCCCGATCCGATCACGTGATCGGGGATCGGAGCCGATCACGTGATTTTCAAAAGATCGGAAGAAAAAAAATCGGGGATCGGGATTTTTTTTAATACTTTTTTATTTTTATTTTGTATTGAATATTACAAAACAAAAATGACCATGTTCAAGTCTTAAAGTCATCCTGAGGCCTTAGTTTTGGTTTCAAATTACACAACATCATGTATGTGTTGCTTCTTTGGGGCTTGTTTTCATAGACCTGGTTGCTTATTTCTCTCAAATCTGGCAACAGAGTGGGCAGGGCGCAGTGTCTAATTGTAGCAGTAAGCTAACGAGTACTGAAAGCTTTATTTTGTTTTGATCCAATGCTGCACAACTGAACTGATCCAATGCTGCTGTGAAAAAAAGAAGCTATATCCATGTTGGATAGAATATCCAATTTAAATAAAAAAATAACCTTAAGGGACAACTTGAATGCTTTTTTTTCTCTTAATGCATTGAATAGAGATCGGATCGGGAAAGATCGGTATCTGCA